ATTCAGCAGCCTCCATCCCAAACCGTAACACATTTAAAAAGTCTCTCGCAACTTGTCATCCTTCGTAAAGGGCATTTATTTCATTCACATTTTAATGAAATGTGTGGTTGTTCAGGCAGCACACATCCAGATAATTAATGATCGATTTGTGGTTACTCACGACCGCCACGAGAATAAATAATATACCGAAATAGCATTGAACAAAAATTTACCTAATAATTGCGAACGAATATTGCATTCAAATTGTGAATCTTAGTTATCAGAACCACAAAAAGAATCCCTTCTGAAAACTTATGTTATAATTCGCAAATATATTTAACCCAAATAAACTCGTTTCAACTAAAATCTAATTATCTTTCAAGGATTTCAATTGAAACAGCTCAACTCTTTTATTTCTCGAAAATTCCTTGGTATTTCTCGTACCAACCGCCGCAAAATGGCACCGCCCCACCATAGTCGCCGTCGAACACACTCTAAACTACTCAACATCCCCCACAGACCACGCAATTTCCCGCAAGTGGCCTGCCAAGTCATACCAAATCCATGCAAGCGCTCTCGTCAGTGACGTGCAAAATCCGGGCACCGTTGATTGATTGATTACACGATTAGGGTTCCGAGCACGTCAACTACTAAGGTTATAAGTGCTGTAAGTATAGTGCATTGCATTCCTCGGGAGACGGTGCAGATCTTCCCCCGCTAAATGGTTGGGATCTCGACTAGCGGGGTTTTCCCCAACTAAGTACCTCCCACCAGCAAAGCATTGCCCCAGCCGGGACAAGCTCTAAGCTCCCGGGCGGTGTCCCAGCATGTATGGTAGTGTAGTAGATGTTAGTATAAGTGTGTGTAAATAAAGGGTAAGGCTAGGGCTAGTAAGAGGAAGGAAAGATCGCGCGCGGTTTATGGCCTGTTTATGAGGGTGGTGCTCCCGCATTCGTCTGGTTTTAATCGGAGAAAGTACGGTAACCACGATCAGTGCAATCTGCCACTAGAATTCTCCTTCAGACGACCACTGAACACGACCTAGCTATCTAGCTAGTGTCACCTTCGGAACCCGAACCTAGGGCCTCATGGTTAGAAAAACTGTAGTGACATTAGATGATGCCCTAAGCCATCTCTCCCGGTAATGCAGTCGAAACCAGGCACTTCCATTCTGTGTCTCACGAACGATGATACGTAGCAGGGGTTTTGAACCGGTGATCTGATCGAGCGGCGGATGTGCGGCGATAAAAAGAAAAAATATCTTCAAAGCAGATTCACGTCATATTTTTTATATGGCAAAAGTGTACCAAAGTTTTACCATCATACGTATTCACGTATCTTATTAATCGTAATATTGGTAATAATGAATTACATTTTAAATTACGCTTTAATAATATATAATAGTGTTCTAAAATAAAATTACATTTTTCGCAATCTTAAAATTGTTTTTAAGTAATAGATACTCTTATTTTAGAATAATATTTAACACTTTCAGCGTGCCACCGGTAGCGAAAGGGTGAAAACTGCTGACCTACATTTTCCACAACATTCTACCCTTCAGAAATAACGACAGCCAATGCGTTATTTTTTCATATTGCTTTGTGCCTACTGCAAATGTCTGGCGTTTAATTACCATATTACATACTAAAGTAATGATTAAACAAGTTAAACTTATTTAGTGATAATCGACATTTCCAGTGCACGAAGTGTGTGGAGATTGCATCAGGCGTTTAAAACGAAACCACAACATCGTAGTAACTTTTATTACATGTGACGCTTTTTCTTCAATGCGTGCTATGGGAATAAAACAATTGCAGACGAGAATGTGTCAAAAAATTTATTTTAATACTAGTGACTTTCTATTACTTCTTATTTTTCTGAATATGTGCTCCAGGTTGGAAATTTTTATTGCGGAGACGAGGGTTTAGCTGTTAGAGAATGTTTAAACACGTGTATCGTAAATTAAAAGAGGTATTTTCTTGTTTGTTTACACAATATGAGTATAATGTATGTAATACGAGTACTGACTTTTAGGATATTTGTTGTAGGATATTTTAAAACACCACTGACTATCTTGACACCCCAACATATGAATTTCACAGTACCAATGTTTTTGTAAGTAAGAAATTCTTTATGTTTGAAAACACATTGGCACACCTCACCACAATTAGCAATTCTGTTTAAAAAAGCATAACATATTTTTTTGTGCTTTTGATTCTGAAGATAGAGAATTACCTTCAATAAAAATAAATTATGAACACCAAAATGTTATACTTAATGGAAGTTCTCTGAGTTCTCTAAAAAATCCACAAAGTTCATTTGAACACTTACATAAATTATATTGGCGTTATTATGAAATGAAAATAGAAAACCATTTATTGCAAAGTGAGTGTAAACGAGAAGAAACGTTTTAAAATTTCCTTCGCACTCATGAATAATAGTCAGTAACTTGCAGGTGTTTCAAAAAATAACTTGAAAGTAAATTATGTTTCCTTGTTTCTTAATTTCCCTAATGCGAAAATAAAAAGTATTTCATAAGCTTCCTGAATATCTCGGCGAGGCTTTTCTTTATTAATGAAAAACTGCATCAAAGGATAAACTGCCGTTCGGTAATTAGTACTTCTCAGAGTTGTGTGCGCTGCATCCTATTCTAGAGAAAAAGAATTCACGCAAATGTGTCTCGGAATTTTTAAATCCGTCTGAGGAAACAAGTGTGATGAATTTGCAGCAAAATCAACAGACAAATAACTATAATCTTATAAAAACTTCCTCTGTCCGGATATCTGTTTCACCGTAGGCGTCACAAAATAAACATTACACTACAAGTGATTAATTTCGTCTATTTCTTAATTCACAGACTAATTCTTAATTCCCGTTTCATTAGAATCTTTTCAAGTTATTCCTCTTTGAATAAAACAAACCACATAAATGACTACTACGCACATAAGGAAGACATACAATATTATTAATGATATGCGCTAAATTTACCATAAATTTACACATAACCACTAAATTTAAATAAATGTTCTCACTCATTTTTAATTTCAAATTTTAAAAAATTCTATTAATATTATTTTGCGAGCACTTATTATTAAAAAATTACACATGGTTATTTTAATTCAATTCCATACTATTCTATCCGAATGGTTCGTTTCTTCATTCGATGGTTTGAAATCATCATCGAAATAATTTCTCTTTAATATTACAATTGCTACAGTTCTATTTTGACCGTTGGTATGACGAAAAATAAATCCATTGAAAAGGAAATGGATGTGATTGAAAATCAATTGAGTCCAGGTAAAACAGGATATTTACAGAGACGAAGAAGCTGCTATTGCATCAATGGTGTTGACTAATCGAATATATGTGAATTGTAATGGTGACCCAGATAAAGGTCGGTGTAATACATCGATATTTTATCCTTGAAAATTCTAAATAATCTAAAATCATTGTTTTCACCATAATAAATATCACTTCAATCCAAAAATCGATATGAGATTTGTCTCTCCCTTAGTTCGAATTGATGTCTTTCTATCCGACGAAGTTTATACGATGTCCGGCGTCCTTTAGTGAAGCATGTTGATGGGCCGTTTCTTTTTATTAATGACATCGGAAATTCGGTCAGCAATCATACAATTCGCGAAAAGCTCTTCGTTTTGTTATGCGAATATTACGGAAAGTTAACTGTAACCTGAAAATACAAGCCTACGTATCTTTGGTTCGTCCTATAATGGGATACGAAGTAGCTTGCTAGGATCCTCATAGGGAAGGTCAAATTAAACAGTTAAACCGAGTGCAGAAAAAAGCGACTAAATACGGGAACAGAAACAACGGAGAATATGCCAATTGGGAATCTTTAGTAACCCGTAAAAAGGCAGCACGACTGTGTGCTCTTTTCAAGGCTTATAGACAGAGCAAACAGCTTGGAAAGCTGTCAGTGAAAGACTTGAAATGACATGCTACTATATAGGGGCAACCATTCACACAAATTACGCTGCAAAAAGAAAAGAACAGATGTAAGAATATTCAGCTTTGTGAATAGAACCATTGTTCACTGGAACAATTTTCCTGCAGAGGTGCTGGCGACCCTTCCCAGAAGCATGCGAGTTACGCGTTCGAGATTTCTTAAGAGTGCAAATGCAGAAATCTGTGACGTCCATTTAAATGCAGCGAAGGTCAACAAAAGTGCGGGGAAAATATGATGAATATATTTGCCGTTAATGAACAAATTACTGGTTACCCAAGGGAGACGGGGTGTGTTTTTTATTATATTTCATTCTTGTTTGTTAGTTTGAATGAATTATTTATCTCTTAATATTTATATGTATTGCTTTGTCAAAGTTTTATTTTTGTACTTCTTTTTTGATTAATTGGGCATACTGATTAAATGAGCATACGCTCATTTGCAGTAATAAGTTTATTGTTAAGACTTAGGACGTTTTTCAAATGGGAGAATTAACACTTAAAATTATTTAAATAAGTATGTTTCTACATCAGAAAGACAATGTACTTTAAGCGGAACTAAGTTTATAGACAAAAACAAAACGTTCCTTCAAGAAACACGAAACTCATACATTCCACGTTAATTTTCTTGGATAAAGAATTAGCTTTTTATTAAGCTTCTCTAATGTGTTTTAAATATTTAAGCATGAGCGTAATATTTTACGGAAGCTGCTAGAAAATGTATGAATTTCCTCTTGAGGAAATGCGCTTCCCCAAGATTTGTTAAAAAATCATGGTACTACACACACAGTATATTTAATAGAACAGACATTTTTAGTTATTTCTACAAAAAATGTAGTTTTAAAAATATTTTTAAAATTAGTGATGCTTGTTCAATGACTTCTTTTTAATATCTTAGATTGGAAAAGTAAATATTGTTTATGTACTTCAATTTGTTTTAACATTCAATTAATCTTCAAAATCTTGACTTTTCACTTACATTCTTCGAAGATATATGCAAATGTTCATCTTGTAAAGAAAACGTGTTTGTATAACAAAAATATAAATAATATTCACTATTCTTCATCAGGAAAGAAAGATTCAAGTAAATATGTTCTGAGTTTCATAATAATTGCTTCACATGTGAACAGCATGCCATACAAATTCTTAAATTTTAGTATTTTATTTTTATCTTATATATAACATATATTTCAAGAATAGTGTGCTATTAAGATCGATGAAACAAAATTCAACTAACATTTATAGAACGAATGGCTTCTGTCTCAATTACATAAATATCGTTTTCGAAGTAAATTCATTAGAAAGAATATTTACTTGGATTAACTCATCTTTATAAATGTCAGTAAACATCACTAATTTTATTACTAACTGGACGTATTAATCACCACAAAAATGTTATTATATTTATGTGAGATCTAATTACAAGTGGAATATAAACATATAGAATTTTATTTGCGCACAAAATATAAATAAAGCCAGTACTTACACCATCGCTCGGCTCACCATTGCTGCGGGCAATGTAGTATATTATGCTGAGAGCAAACAAACTATATTGCAATCAGGAGAATTCGTGCACCCTATGTGCAGTTTATCCCAATACACGAGTTTTATTTACCACTTTCCGATACACCTCTGCGGGCGAAAACAGTAGAACAAAAGCAAACTGCACTGATATCCATGCCAAGCGACAGTCAATTATGTTCTCCGGACCAGGGAGAATTAACGCACTTGCCGAAAATCTCGCAAAGCCCGACATCAAAGAGATTCGTTCTCTGGGATTCGCTTTCAATATTAAACCAATATTGGCAGGTGTGGGAGCGACCATTTGTATTGTTTCCGTTATAATTTCCTGAAAGAAAGAGAACCAAATGTCGAAGTTTGTAAATGAAACTAACTTTGTTATGATGTTTCTCACTTACTCTAAATAATCTGTATAAAAATATATTAAATTGGCCGCAAAGTAATTTGTTCACTGCGAATAATGATGCAAGGAGAAAAGAAATTATTAAACAATCAGAAAATCTGTTGTAAATCTTAATTTAGATAACAAACAAATCGTGAGATTCTCATGCAACATAGGAATGAAAATATTCTTTACACATGATTATGGTGCATATTTTACCATATTATATTGATGCAATAAATACACACTATTAGAACTTTATAAAATGTATGATTTCCATGACCTATTGCGATCCGGACTTTACACATATTGTTACACTTTATACTACATTAAAAATGTACTTGCGAATTGTGGAAGGTGAATTATTGCTAAAGACTATGCTGTTAAACCTACAAACCGTGAGAGGATAAAATAAAACTGACAAACTATTGTGTTCCCATACATAGTGCAATTGATAACAGATTTTATGCTATATATTTGCACTTGTTCGAATAAATCACAGTTTCCTACATGACGATGAATGAAAGGTTTCGTTAGGGAGGGACCCCATCACCGGTTATTCGTATCGAAACTTCTGTTTGAATCTAGGCTATTGCGATGTTTATTGTGTTCCCGGCACCGATGCATACGCGTGGAAATGACTTTCAGAGGTCACACATCACATCGCGTCAAGGAAAGGGATCCGTCACTGAAATCTGCAGCTCCAGAAAGACAGGAGGTTATTATTTTCTTGTAATATGTTATGTGATATAAAATCTTTCTAATCAAGCAAGTCGTTTAAAATTAAAACCCAAAATGTGAATTTAAAAACGCTAGGAGGAAAGTTACATCACTTGCATGCATAGTAATTAATATTTAATGTTTTCCTGCCTTTTCTCTTATTTTTAATTTTATTGTATACTTCTATCTTTATAATTATAATACTTCAAATCAACGTCTAAATTTTGATAATGAAAATGATGAGAAAAAGCGAGAGAAACTCTTAAGAAATCAAATACGACGATTGGATCAGAATGGAATGTCCGATCTTATGCCTTGAGCTGATGTCTCAATATGTGAAAGAACGTGAGGAGGGGATACAAGATCTTTCGCCGCCAACGGAAATTTCTGGATCGTGGCAGCTGATATATTACTGAAGCTCAAGAGTGGAAGAACGTCCATCGGACGTCGTACATTAATTACATCCACATAATTTACAATATTTTCTTGTAGATTCAGTAAGCAATTTGAAATGACAATAATAACATTTTCATTGGTATTGTGGTTACACGTTTAGTTTAATTGGTGATTACACAAGCGATTTGGCAGTTTCAGAATGTGTGCGGTCTGTATGACGAGTTCTCTATTGTCAAGTAGGTTGATTGATAGATAGTTTGAAACTTCACTTAATTTCTTCAATTAACCTTAGGTCTTTATAAATTGTTTTGTTAGTACGAACCACGGTACTCTGCTCTTCGTCTTAAGGTTGTGATTTCGAATTTTATAAGAAACGGTACGTTCCATTCTCTGTGAGAGCCTCATAATTATATTCCGTCTGTCCGAGTAGGTTTTATGACAATTTTGTAAAGTTGCACGGGTTTACAGCGATAGCCGCGACCTTAGGTTAAGGAGCCATAACGATTCTCGTTCTTTCAGTTGTTCTTTTCGCTTTTTAATGAGTTTTCCATTTCAAATGTCTGCCCAAGTCGTACTCTTAGTGTAAGTCAAAATATACCACAGTTGAAGACTCGAGGACTTCTGCGGTATTTATTCTAGCTTTGGACATCGTTTCATTCTTAACGGTGACGAAATGTGTTTGAGTTTACCATGTGAGCCACATTTCACACTCTTTTTCGTAGACTGCATAGGGTCCTTCAATTTTGGTGTGAACCAACCACAGTTTTACCTTACCGGCTTCTCCCTCCGACCTAACCATAAGCACATAGCAGCTGAGCACGGGTTTAGAAGACGATTTGAACCGACGTATGTCATAAATTCACCATCTACAGAAGAGTACAATGCCTTAGTTACTCGCCTAAATTGGTATCTAGCTTGCGTAAATTCTAAAACGTGCTTATATGTTTTGTTTAGCATGTGTTCATCCATTGAAGGATATCCCAGTATATGTTGCATTGTGACGATGATAAAACTCGCTCAGAATGAGAAGATCAGATTATGGAGTAAAGATGTCTTCGTGCTAGCCACACGTACCCCTTAAACCCATTGTCACGAGATTGGAACGCTGCAAGTGGGCCCTGGCCCGTTCGCGGGCAGTCGCTCCAAGTACAGACAGGCATCCATGAAAGGAATGGCATTCCCAATTTAGAGAAAGATAAGCAAATGTATTCCAAAGAGCATTTGGTGTGTGAAAAATAATACGATGGAGAGTAATGGGCTAAAAAGAATCCGAAAACCTGTGTTGCAAATAGTGGGCGCTAACAAGTAACATTTTATACGAAATCAGAAGTGAAATTATACAATGCTTTGAGGAATATATATAATATGGAAGTATGATGTCTGCAATGAATACAGCATTTTTGAACATGCGTATTATCTTGCTGTACTCGTACAAAGTAATGTGTCACAAACTATCCCTCGAGTTTGGTTGAATCCTAAGGGCCATTTTGGGGATCCCAGAATGCGAAAATATGATTTCCAAATTTTCTCTGTAAACAAATATAAACTCCAAACGTTACGTAAATGTATTTTAAATTTGGCACTATATTTCATTACGTTTCTGTTCCTCTCTTTTCTGATTACATCAAAATTCAAGTTTATATCTTTTGTTTATTTAAGTTACAAGCGAAAACGAATATCTTGTCGAGATTGGAAAGAAAGGCTATACGCGTGGGCGGAACCTCACAGAGACTAAGAACCCAGTGATATAAAGTCTGACAAGCACGAACGGCTCTCCCTCCTTTTCGTATCGAAGCTCCCAGAGACTTTCTGTAGAAGCATCTCCCTGTGTCAGTAATAAGATGCCCGAACATCAATTTATTTTCGCGGGCGCGTTTCTTTCGAATTCCGCAGGGCGGGCGCCTGTCGCAAGCAAAGCACACAGACAGAGCGGGCCTGGATCGACTCGACTCGCCCTCTCGGCAAATCAGGCGGCTGCACAGAAGACAGGGCCTTTGTTGACGCGCCCGCCCCCACCCACCCCCACCCCCTGTTCGTTGTTCCCGCCGGCCCGGACGCCCGCTCACATGCTGACCAAATTGAGGAAAGCCTGGGCAAAACTACAAAACTAATTTTTTTGTGGGAAATTTTATCACCGTTGTTGGTAGAAAAGATGTGATACTTCAGTCGAGAAAAGTACAAAGTCATGCGTGGTAGCTGATGCGGCAGTGTGAAGTGCGACGGAAAGTGTACTTGAAGTTGCCTGAGTAGAAAGTAAGTTGATATTACGTACTTCTTAATTATTTGATATTGTACAAAGGTTTTTCATGAACATCTAGGTAGGTGAAAGGTGTGGTACTTCAGTTGGAGTAGAGCAAGCAATGGCGTGTTTCCTCCCTGCAGCAATGTGAACTAGAGCATAGGAAAATGGTACTAGATTGCTACTGTTCCGAATAGAAAAGTAAGTTGTGATATTGCGTATTAAAATCATTGTTGCTTGTACGAATGTTTTTTCAAATTTTTTCTATTTTATAAATCCCTTGCTGAGGGAAATTAATAAATCTCGCAGACTATTAAACATTCTCAATTCTACATTAAAAATTTAATTGAAGTATTATATATTCTACTAGCTTAAAATGTGTATAACGCATTATCAACGCCTGAACATTGCATATTAGCCTTCAGCTTAATTAATTATCTTCCCAAATAAAAACAAGGTTGTGGCGGAGTGAAAGCGGAACGGAATTCGTCTGATTAAACTTTAAGAAACAGAATACTCGACCGGCGCAGACCTACGTACTAAATGAACAAGTAATATATTGCCCAAAAGTTGTATCAAGGAAATTATGTAATGCCGCAATATAAGGATGTATTGTACTCCTCTATTATTTTTATGAAGACTTCCGCATAGATGAAATGTTAAATAGTTTTGTTAGGTTAACGAACCATCGTTGCTTCGCATAAACTTTCTTAATTTTTGTGGGTTTGGAATTTCTAAACATTCTTTGTTCGGAATTGCTGTCAGACTCATAATTTCATGACATAGGTGAGTAAGGTTTATGACAATTTTTATAGAACTCGTAAGCACTTTTGTTGTAAGATAAGCTGTACTCTTACTGAGGATGATATTCATTTTCGTTCATCTAGTTGTGTTTCTTTTTGCTTCCAATTACACGGAGTTTTGTCTAATAGTGTTGACTGCGCATGTCACATATTTGCAGTTGAAGACGGGGAGTTTTGAGTAATTTATTCTAACGGTTGGAACAGCTTATCCTTTAAAAATGATGTGAAATTGGGATTGTTTGTTCCATGCTATTTTTGTTCCATTCCTTCTATTTTTGCAGGCATACAGTTAAACTGGCTTTGGGTGCCTGCTGGATATTCATGTTTTTTCTATGATTTGGTTTACTACAAATGTACAACCACATCTAAAAACCGCTTTATAATGTTGGTAATTACAATGGCCCGGATCCGGAATTCTCGCAAGGCATTGGGGTTTTGATCATGTGCGCCCGTCGTATTGACTCTCGTATCATTTTATCTAAAATCACCACTGCCATTATACGCCTTTCTTGCTTACGCCGTTACTAGGTGTCGGATTTTTGATGGCCCAAATAAAACATAGCCATAATGATCAATGAATATGCCTCTTAAATATTTTTAAATGCCCTAAAACAAAGAAAAATTATGTAAAAAATCGATCAAAGAAGTCAGATGGTCAAGGTGTTGGATATGTCATAATGTATCGAGGCTTCTTCCTTTCGTTCAAGTGATATAGCTTGAAAACTATTGTTTTGGACTGTTCTTTCGGGAATATTTGTCTTTTAGTTACTGCTAATGGCGCGCAGAGC